ACAAGGCTGAAGAAACATTTTACTTTCATGAAATGCCATTCATCAGTTTTAGAAATTTCTTCCTGTACTGATGGAGTCATTGGTAAAGTCCTTGTGTCTGCTTAGATTCTGAAGTGTTTTCCCAAAATTGCTCCTCTGACCTTTCAGAATGTCAGGTGGACCAGTTGGATGTTTGACCTATGTGTGGTTGACTTCTGTGCAGATGAAGATATAAGAATTTCATTTCACACTCTACACATGGATACATATATCCCCTGGTTGATGAAGCTATATTTTCTCCCATATATATTTCTGTTAGCATTTCAAAATCAGGTGACTTTATCTTCGGAGATTGATGTCTGGGTTCCATGTTTTCTTTCAGTAGACTACATGCAAATTTTTGATATAATATCATGAATTCTTTTTCATCTCAGACTCTTTAGTAAAACTTAACTAGGTACAGTGACTATTATAGTGTATTCTGGAAATGTTGCTATGGATTTTTTAAAAAAAAAAATCTCACCTATCTCATTCAGATTAACACTTTATCTCTGAGCCAAGTATCATGCCTAATGTCCTGTGCATTCTATCCTTGATAGCACTTCTTGGTATAATCAATGGTGTGGTATTGCCTAACAAGCCAACTTGTAGGATTAAATTTCCTCAGTTGCACAGTAATTGAGTAACACAATAAAACAGGAAGCAATAAGAATGTGTATCTCTCAACACAACAGTTATACTGGCAGCTTCTACCTCACAGGATACATGTATGACTCTGGGGTGGAATGTGAATATTAAAATATGTATTTTATAGCCAGGATGGTAAACATCAGATGTCCTCAACTGTTAGTCGGTACCATGTACACAACTCACACCCTCAGCCTCCTGGCTCATAGGTCAGTGCTTAAGTACCCGGAGTAACTGTCCGCATTAAGGAGAGCCATGATACTATTATAACTGCATGTGTGAAGTATTTGATAGCTCTATTTTGTTTTGATTCTCCCTCTAATTTTATAGGTGCTGACACAGACACAGTGGCTGCCGGCCGATACACATTATCTCATGCTATCACATCCTATATTCTGGTCTCCTGCAGGATTTAAATGTGAATTATTCATTATCTCCTGGTTTTATCACCAGACATTGAAATTACAAAGCATTAAAATAATCTTGCACAGGTGCCACTAAGATGGCTCAGCAGATAAAGGTGCTTTCTGTCAAGCATGGTTTCTTTAGATCTATCCCAAGGATCAACCTGGAAGAATAAATATGACTCCATCAATTTGTCCTCTGACTTCAAGTATGTCCTAACCTCTTTCCATGATTGACTATAAACTGTTAGCTGAAATAAACCCCTCCTCCCTAGTTTTCTTCTGATGTTTCGTGATAGCAACCAAAAGGAAACTATGATAACAGGCTTTTATGCACTTTGGATTCGGTGTTAAATGTACTATAATAAAAAACATACTTCAATATGTCTTTTAGTGCATCAAATATTTTATTGAAATTCATGTACTCCTGTGGTAGATCCAATTTGTTATCCCACACTGCTTAGAAAAAGACTCGCTTATTGACCTTATATTCATTTTTTAAGTTGTTGATTATCCCAAAACAGCCAAACCACTATTGCATCAGTTGTCAGCATTTTCTTGGAAGGTCAACACTGGACCATGCAGGGCACAGTGCTAGGTTAAACCCCTGTTGTATTTTCTGCCCCAGCATCCTTCAATGAGAGTGCTCCAAGGACAGTTTACACTGATTTTTCTATGTAGTACCTCATTAGTTCATGGTTGTCATATCAATAGGTTCTTACCAAATAATTATGATGGGTAAGCAAGAGCAATGACAAAAGCCTGTCCTGTTGATTGCCTCACAGTCCTCTCAGGACAATAACTCACAGGTTTTAGTAAAACAATTCCGGGAAATGAGATTCCATTTAATAATTTATATTATTAAATTTTAGTTAATAAGTGATGTCTTCTGGTAGACTTGTTCACCCATGCAGGGTAACTCTCTTCAATATCCTATTTCTTTTGAGGAAATAATGTGAAACAGTGTTGACAAATAGTGTTTTCTCACAAAATACCAATTTTTGCAAATTGGCTCCAGTTGTAAAGGCAAACAGAGATAAGTTACATTGCACAAGTTACATTTTACAATAAATACTATTGTGAATTTGTAGCATCCAGTTCATTTTATGCTATTCTTTGACAATATCAAAAATACATGTCGTTGAATTTGTATTCTGTATATAAGAATGGCACCCACTAAGATGAAGGAGAGAAAAATGAGATTTGCATACCAAACACTTCAGAAAATCAAAAAAGAAAATTCACACACATAACTCAATTATAGACATCAGATGGACCATATCATATCTTCATTTCTAAAAGTGAGAACCCCTGACCTCTAGGAAACAGAGCAGATAACAACCTCTCTGAATGCCAAAATATTCCCTTCTGAGAGCAGAAACTTGTAATGCTTCTTTGCAAATGGTCACCAGGGGAGACAAGTTCATGGAAAACTTCTTACCTGTTCAAGCCTGCAATATCCATTGCTACAAGTAACATAATAATTGTAGGTCTGAGGGGAGGGGAGGTAACAGACCACAGAAACCTATAACAGGCACTGGCTACCTCCTTCAGCTGATCTTCTCCGGATGTTTGTGTCACCTAGATCAGAATCCCAGAAAAAGAAGGATTGCTGAGAGTACAACATACTGAAACCTTAGAGCAGAGATGAAAAGATAAAAATGTAAGTCTTGGTAAGTGATCGTAGGAGACATTAAGACACGAGACCGAACCTGGAAGAATGACAAAGCCACAGAGGATAAAGAGAAAATCTTCAGGAATGGCTCAGAGAGAATTGAAAGGTGAGGCCCTACCTGTACCACATTCCAACTCTAACAACCCCTTCCTTCCTGTCAGTGCCTGCTATGGTCTGTCATGTCACGCTGGAAAAGAAGTCTGATGCTTATGGGATCACCTAATATCTCTCTGAAAGGAAATAGAGTCTCCATTTAGAGGGGATTTCTCTAGGGCACCTGATAACGTTCTTTGTGGTCGGTGACACTTTGTGAGAAATGTATAAATATGACTTTCTATCATCTTTGAGCTCTTATTCACAGTGGTTACTAAGGACAGTGATAGACTTGATAACAAGCTCTGCAAGGATGACTCCTTCACAGCTTATTTGTGTGGAAGATATGAACATTGTACACGTGAGTATCTATAGATTTTTCTATGAAATATTTGTAAGTAACTTTCATAAAGTCAAACAGATTGAAAATCAGTTCTCATAACAATAAATTGATGACAATAACAATAAACCTTTATTCCATCTAATAAGCAGGATACATTTTTAGGATTTCTAGGGAAATATCTTCTTATAGTCATGCTCATAATAATAAGAGAAGTAATGTTCCACTGAACAATGTAATCCTACCTGGAACTGTATGTAAATGAAGGTCTCATTTCCACAAAACTTTTTCCCTGCCTCAGAGTGGGGTGTGAAATCAATGGGAACAGTATTCATAACAATTTGAAAGTACCCATATTAAAAAATTGCCAGTATGCTTTCTTGTGAATGTAGCAAGAGGCATTTAAATGAAGGCAGTTATAAATATTATTATTTCATGCCCTCAACTTTTGGGATTAATTTTTTCACGTGTTTGAAAACATTCTCATCAAATATGGGGTTAATTATGCTTGCATAAGACATTGAAAGTAGGAAGATTGACCACATGGATGGATTCTAGGGAATATCATGCAATCACTCCCAAATTTCTCTCTGAACCTAAAGTATGGCCAACTGTTTTTGAAGGGTCAAGACATGAGCCAGGTCACTGGAGATATTTCGTCACTGTCTTGATAAGGAGATTCTGTCAATGTTTTGCTCATTCTGCAGAGTATGAACCTACAAATACTGGAACACTTTGTACCCCCCATTCAATGGCCTTCGCTTGTGCAATTAATGTTGAAATGAATATAGGTTGTGGACTCAGTCAGGATGGGAAATATCAATACCATGCATGTATCCTGTGACATAGTGCATGTGGCTTCAGTCTCATCTTTTCATGAAGGATCCTCAGTTTGAGAGCAGAAACTGAGAGCATGGCAGCCAGTGAGTTATCTTTAGGAGTGGTCTTCTTGTCTCTGACTATGATTGGACTACTGGGGAATTTCTTGCTTCTCTGTCACTACATGTTTCTTTACCTAATGAGGTACAGGATAAAGTCTACAGACTGGGTTCTGATTCACTTGGTTGTAGCCAGCATCTTAACTGTCCTGGGAAAAGGAGTGCCACACTCCATGGCAGCTTTTGGACTGAAGGACTTCCTCGATGATAATGGATGCAAATTGGTTTTCTCCTTTCACAGATTAGGTCGAGGTTTGTGTATTGGCTGCACCTCCTTCCTTAGTGTCTTCCAGGCCATCATCATCAGCCCCAGGGACTCCAGGTATTCAGAACTGAAAATAAAAGCACACAAGCACGGCTGTTATGCTCTGTACCTGAACTGGGCAATTCATTTCCTTATAAGCAGTATAAATCTTGTGCACATGAGGGCAAGATACGGAAATGCAAGCACAGCAAACCTGAAATCATTTTTATACTGCTATTCTGTCCGTCATGACCAAGCCAGTGACATTTTTTATGCAGCATTGCTGTCAGCTCCTGACATTTTTTTTCTGGGGCTCATGCTATGGGCCAGTGTCTTCATGATTCTCATCCTGTACAGGCACAAGCAAAGGATGCAACACATGCCCAAGATTAATACCTCCTCCAGATCCTCCCCCGAGTCCAGAGCCACTAAAACTATCCTTCTCCTGGTCAGTACCTTTGTCTCCTTTTACACAATCTCTTCCCTAGGTCAACTCATTGGTGCTATTGTGGATAATCCAAGCTGGTCAGTGGTGCATTTGACTGCAATGGCCTCTCTCTTTTTCCCCACTGTTTGTCCTTTTCTCCTCATGAGCCGTGATTCTCGGGTGTCCAGCTGCTGCCTGACCTTGAAAATAACTAGACATTTCCCTAAAGCATCTAATCAAGAGCAGAATTGAAAGCTGCTGTCTATGTCTTGCTTCATTATTGAGTCATTCTGAGAGAAGAGTGAGCATGACACTCATGCCGCACACTGCTGGGGCTATTACAATTGAACCTTCCTGTCGCTGTGAATGTTTGTGAGTGTGTAATCATGTGTGTGTGTGTGTGTGTGTGTGTGTGTGTGTGTGTGTGTGTGTGTGTCATTTTGTGCACAAGCATGTGAATGCCTTTACTTCCTTCATGTACATGGTACATCAAGGTATATATTTAGATGATTGTGTGACATAAGTAAATTACAAAGGATATTGAAAATTAAGTAAACTTTAGGTTTCATATTAAAGCAATTGTAAAACAGCACAATATTCCCTTTGTGTTGTGCTTTCTGGATTTGGGGTTGTTGACTCTGAAATTAAAAATATATATATATATATATATATATATATATATATATATATATTTATAAATCTCACAAGTTATATATATATATATGTATATATATATATATATATATATATATCAGTTGAACTAACATACAAACATGTAGCAGCAGGCTTTAGGTAAAGGAAATGGCAGAAGGGCTTGACTGTACACTGGGGG